TCATAAATATATTTATGTTTTTTAGAGTTCAACAAATCAATGTTGAAATCCCCAAAAGGATAATTTTTTTGTTTAACTGAGCTGAATTGCCTTTCTATACGAGCTATAAAAGTATAAATATTAAAACCTGGCTTCATYTACACACACAGCTATGCATATTTTCCTTCTAACCATATTTATCTCAATAATTATACTATGGTAAGCAGTTACTATACAGTATCTTGCCAATATGCTGTAGCTGTAGAATATCTTATTTATAAAAACTCAGTTGTGTATTTATATATTTTAAAAGATTATATAAAAGAAGCTGAGTTGTTCCACATTATGTTGTTCCACTCAGTGTCTGCATGTATTCTGAAAATGAGAATGGTAAATGATAAATGTACTGAACTTATATAGATCTTTATCAAGCCCCATGGGCACCCCAAAGCGCTTTACACTTACAGACGTTCACCCATTCACACACACATTTACACACTTTCTGTTAGTGTAAGTGAAGTGTCTGCTACTGTAAGGTTGGTACATGTATCTGGACAAAGTCCAGAGAGATGGCAGCGAACAGGGAGTACAGAAGGTCAAAACTGGTGTTGAAACTGAGATACAGAGGGACAGGTATGGACTGCAGCCAGATGAGTTGTTAAAGTTCAACACTTTCAGCTGGTTTGAAATTATTCAGAATATCAACCATAAAATATGATGTAATGATTATTTTTGAAATAATTAAATTCGAGCAAATTTAATATTCATGATTTGTGTTTGTGTTGTAAAATGGATTTTATTATAGGGCTGGGCAATGTGACAGAAAAAGGTATCACTGATTAGGTATTTGTTTTACATATTTGAAATAAAGAACAGGAGAAAAAAAGGTGATGGTGACGTGACTTTTTCTCCTTTATCCACAACTTCCTCTTGAGCTGTTGCACTCATTTGCTCCCTTCATTCCATGTCTTTCTTTTTTTAAGCAGTTATGAGGCACGGTTATGAAACATCAAACTGCTGCTGCTACATGACAGGTTGTTGCTAGCTGACCAAAGAGTGAGCGAGTTTGGCTACGTTCACACTGCAGGCAAATCCGACCCAAATCAGATTTTTTTTGACCCATCTGACTCATATCCGATTTTTTTTATGACAGTCTGAACGAGACAAATCCGATTTTTTCAAATCCGACCCAGGCCGTTTCAGTATGTGGTTTTAAATCGGATATATATCTGATGTTTTCAAAGTGACTGCAGTGTGAACGTAGCCAAACTCGCTCACTCTTTGGTCAGCTAGCAACAACCTGTCATGTAGCAGCAGCAGTTTGATGTTTCATAACCGTGCCTCATAACTGCTTAAAAAAAGAAAGACATGGAATGAAGGGAGCAAATGAGTGCAACAG